TGACAGTACAAGCAAGGTCAGGATGTGAGCAAGTGAGGCAAGACAGGCACAAGACCCAGCTGAGTGCAGAAGCGTTGATGATCACAAGGTGCAAGTGCCTTGGTGAACACATCAGGAGTGTTGGCCTCAGAGGCCATGTAAGCAAGCCGCAACTGACGACGCTGCTGTAGCTCACGAGTAAGGAAGTAGCGGAGAGCAATGTGCTTGGTTCTGTGCTCCAGTCTCTGCTCTCGACACAAGGCCAGCATGGCCTTGTTGTCTACGTACAGAAGTGGAGGAGAACGAGGCGGCTCTCCGAGGTCAGTCAGTAGGTAGGTGAGCCAGCGAAGCTCCTGTGCAGCCATGGCCCCTGCGTAGATCTCGGCCTCACAACTGGAGCCGAGAACAGAAGACGAGCAAGTAGCCCGCCACGAAACAGAGCCGGAACCAAGGCTGAAGGTGTAACCCTATGACGACCGCTGCGTAGCCTGGTCGTCAGCCCAAGAAGCGTCTGCATGCCCAGTGAGGACCACTGGACTCCGCCCTCCAAGCACTAGCCCCATGCCCGACGTACTACACAAGTAGCGCAACACCCTCTTCGCTGCAGCCATGTGCTCTGGTCGGTGTCTCCAAGGAGCAACATAGCGTGCGAGAATGCTAAGAGGGTATGCTAGGTCAGGTCGTGTGCAGGTCATCAGGTACATGAGGCAGCCAACAAGCTCTTGATACGAGCTACTCGACTCTACGGACTCATCCGAAGGCAGAGCTGAGAGTGAGTGGCGAGTAGGCAGAGGAGTGGCCTGAGGCGAGGAGTACGTGAAGCCGAAACGCTGAAGGACCTGCTGCACCATGTGTGACTGAGTCGGGGTAATGGTGCGGCGTGCTCTGTCCCGGGTGATCTGCAAGCCAAGGTAGCTGCGCAGTTCACCCAGGTCGGTGCATGTGTGTCTCTTCTGCAGCTCGGACTTCACGTAGGCGAGTCCAGCAGTGTCCGCTGTGGCAAAGACCAAGTCGTCGACGTACACGAGGATGTAGAACGGCGGCAGAGAGGTGTCGGTGCGCAGAAACAGCGACAGTTCGGCAGTAGAAGGAGCAAACCCAAGAGCCGCAAGTGTAGTCCTCAGTGTGTCGTGCCACTCACGGGGCGCCTGGCGGAGACCGTAGACTAAACGCCGGAGACTCCACTGGGTACCAGGAGGGAACGACCCAGTGAAGCCAGGTGGGAGGCGCAGCCAGATCTCCTCGTGCAGGCTGCCCTTCAAGAAAGCTGTGCTGAAGTCAAGAGAGTGCAGCTCGTAGTCACGGTGAGCAGCAACGTGCAGCAGTACCCGAAGAGTGGTCATCTTCGGGGTGGGAGAGAAGGTCTGAAAGTAGTCAACTCCCTGCCGCTGACTGAAGCCACGAGCCACGTACCGTGCCTTGATGACAGGCGGAGAACCTGGCGGCCGCTTCACCCTGAAGATCCACATGCCACTGACGATGTTCGCCCCAGGCGGGGGAACCTCGTCAACGTAGGTGCCTGTGGACTTCCAGGAAGCCATCTCTGTGTCCATAGCTGCCTGCCACTGAGAAGAGTAGGGACCCTCTATCGCCTCCGCGTAAGAGAGCAGAGTCGGTATGTCAAGTGCATCCGGGTCTCCCTCAGGGGTAAGCAGTACGGACACGAGATGAGGTGAAGCAGCTGCCAGACACTGGAACTCCTCCTGCCTGTCCTCAAGGACGTCCGTGCCAAGGACACACTCACCCCCGACGGACGGAGGACAGACAGACTCAGACTCAGCGACAAGACTAGCAGCGTAGTCTAGGCGACAGCGAGCAGCAAAGTCGACGAGCTCAGCAACTAGGGCAGACGCAGCAGTGGACTCGAAAGAAGGGTCAGTGATGACAGTAGCAAGGAGACGCGTAACAGTAGGACTATCAGCACGAAGAGAGTTCGACTCCGGGTCGGCAAGAGAAGGAAGAGAGGGCTCAGGAGGAGAAGGCAAAGGGGCACGCAGAGGAGCAGTGGACGGACACAGAGACATCCAGTGTGTGCCAGGGACAGGATGAGGACGCTGACGCGAACCACGACCACTAGTGCGAGTAGGACGGACAGGCGACGCAGGTCGAGACGCAGGCTCACGACGCTCAGCAAGACCTCCACTAGGACCAGTGTAGGGAGAAGGAGCAGGTAGGGGGGAGGCGGGCTGTAATTGTGACCGCGACTGGACAGGCTGTGGACACTCGAAGGGAGGAGAAGGACCAGTAGAAGAGGGAAGACCAAGAACCTGCTGCAGGAGCGGAACGACGTACGGTCGAGGCCGCGCGGCGACTCCAGACACAGCAGGGACAGCACCAGAACCCCCAGCAGGAGCACCAGCGCCAACAGCACCTCCAGCTCCAGCAGCACCAGTAGCACCCTCGGCAGGACCGCTAGCAGTAGCCTCAGCGCCAACACCCTTAGTAGCTCCAGCTCCAGTCGTACCCGCAGGGCCAGCAGCTACAGTACTCCCAGTACGAGCACCTCCGGGACCCGCGACACCAGCACCCTCAGTAGCCGAAGAACCTCCAGCTCCAGCAGCACGGCTCCAGTGCCGGGCAAACCACTCGCGCAGCTCCTGTGGAGAGAGTGGCTCGCGCCGAGACGAAGCACCCAGAGAACCTCCAGGCGTAGAACCTCCAAGCTCAGCTCCTCCAGGCTTAGCACCCCCAGGTGTAGCACCCCCAGGCTCAGCACCCCCAGGCACAGCACCCCCAGGCTCAGCACCCCCAGGCTGAACACCACCAGGCTCAACACCCCTTGGCTCAGCACCCCCAGTCTTAGCACCTCCAGGCTCAGCACCCCAAGGCTCAGCACCCCCAGGAGTAGTACCCGCACGCTCAGCACCCCTAGGCTCAGTACCCCCAGCAACACCAGAGTCACCAGTAACCTCGACAGGCTCGACTGCGTCTACCTAGGACACACCTGAAGGGGCAGGACCCTGAGGGGGGAGGGGGTCTATCGGTGGGGGACCAGGTACAAAGAAGAGCGGGGGCAGGGGGAGGGACGTAGTGCGGTAGGGGAAGAGGCGGTAGTAGGGGACCGACTCGTCAAACGTGACGTCCTGGGAGGACAGAACACGGCGAGAGGTGGGGTGGTAGAACTGCCACCCAGGCGCGTCAAGGGGGAACCCCAGGAAGACGCAAGGAGCAGCACGAGGGGATAGCTTGTCCGCAGACAAGTCGCGGATAAACGCTCGAGATCCCGAGACATGGAACGCAGATGCATCGCCAACCTTCCCCGTCCACAGCAAGGCCGGGGAGGTCTCCGGCCTGGAGACCCTGGGGTGAAGATTGATCTGATGCGCCGCGTACCGCACCGCTAACGGCCACAGAAAATGGGGGGCAGCCGCATGCATCATAGACGTACGAGCGACGTCCATGACCATGCCAATGCGGCGCTCAGCAATCCCATTTTGCTGTGGAGAGTCCGGAAGCGTGAAGGTCTGACGGATGCCTCGTGCGCGACAGTAGGCTCTCAAAAGGCCAGAGGAGAACTCTCCGCCTCTGTCTGAGTGCAAACGCAGAATAGGAAAGTCCGAGCCGAAGCTCTGCCTGAGCTGGAGACAAGCTGTGCGGATCTAGTCGATCAGCACCTTAGTGACATCACCCTTGCTGCGCAAGGGGAAGACTGTGGTGTAACGCGAGTAGCTGTCAACAACAAGGAGGACGTAGCGCTCGTGACCCTGTCCACGGACGCGGGCTGGGCCCCACACGTCCATGTGGAGCGTCTGCAGCGGGGCCTCTGTCGGAGGAAACTGGGAGGAGTGAGGGGCAGCCCGCTGGCGCCCCTCGACACAGGGAACACAGGTAGGGCCAGGCCCCTGAGGAAGGGGAGGGAGGGACCGGGGAAGACCAGAAACAAGAAGACAGGAGGCCATGCCTCTAAGACGAAGCAGAGAGGGGTGACCAAGGCGGTGGTGCCAGAGGAGAGTCTCGTGGGACAGGAGCCGACACGAACAGAGGGCAGACTCAAGACCAGACATGGACGCTGCAGCAAACACCTGACTCGACGCAGCTACCCGACCAGACTCAGTGACTGGGGGAGACGCAGTGGTCAGTGTGTATAGGCTCGACCCCAGTTGACGTGTAAACGTAGCCAAGTGTCGGCCTGTCCGAGCCTCAGTGCAGTGCATCACCCGCTGACTCGCAGGAGTGAACTGGTGCACTCCCCCATCCTGTAGGTCAGCACCACTCACCAAGTTCGTAGAGAACGAGGGGAGGTAAAGACCAGACAGGGTGCCAGAGGGAGCCGCCGGACACGGGAGGACTGTGGAGAAGTGAGACAGGACAGGACCCCCAGAGGGGTCAGCCAGAGACAGTGCAACTGGCCGACCAAGCGGCGTGAGTGTGGTGCGGTCCCGAAAGAAGGAGCGAGAAGCCCCCGAGTCAAGGGTGAAGGTGAGGGAGGCCGAAGCCAACGCAGTACCTGAGAGAGCAGACTCACCAGTACCTGAGGACGCAGACGCACTGGCACCTAGAGCAGCAGCCTCGCAAGCACCTAGGGCAGCAGCCTCACCAGTACCTAGAGCAGCAGTCTCAATGCCCGGATCGGGCGGGAAACACTGGTAACAGTCACCCTCATCACTACTAGTCACAGCATACATGGAAGAGAGAATAGCATCAAAATCAAGATCAAAGATGGCAACTCCCGCCCTAGACAGCTCGCCCCAGCGAGGGATCTCTGTGGCCTCAGGGAACGGGTGACGCCACGCGTCCGTCAGGCGGCCAAAGCAGCGCTGGGTGGAGTGCGCACCCGCACACTGCTCACGCGCACGGTCGCCGGTGCGCAGGACGTAGGTGCACGGACCAAAACCCCCACCCCGCTGGCGTGTAGTGTACCACTCACGGAGCTGCTGAGGGGACAGGGTCTCACGACCACGCTGCTGCTGCTGGCGCGGACCACCACCAGAGCCACTCCTCTGCGTAGACCCGCGACCAGCTCCACCGCCACCTCCGCCGCCTCCCCCGCCTCCACTGCCGCCTCCACCGCCCCCACTAGCTCATCCAGCTCCCTTGCCCCCCTTGCCCTTGCCTGTGCGGCGCTTCCCCGAAGGGGCAGACGCAGCACCGACCGACTCAAAACCAACAAGGTCGGCCGCAGCAGCAGAAGCAACAGAGGGCAAGAGGGGGGAGGGAGAACACCCCTCAAAGACAGGGGTGCGGGGGTCACCACGTGAGGCTCCTACAGCGACTATGCTCTTCTCCGCCGCTAGGAGGGCCTTCTCCAGGAGGTCAACGGTGAGAGTGGTGGGGCACACTGCGAGGAAGTGGTCCCTGACTACGCGTAGGGAGTCAGGGAGTCGGGTGACTTTGTAGTAGAGGGTGGTGTACATGGGGGGGGGGTTCTTGGCGCAGAAGTCAGCAGGAAGCGCAGTGCGGTAGCGAGTGTCATTAGTGCAGAGGTGTGTAATGAGGTCAGCGACTGTGGGAAAGGCAGTAAGGTCAGGGAAGAGGTACGGTAGCATGAGACGGCTCAGTGGAGCAGTGACAGGGGAGGAGTAGCGTGCAGCTACAGCGTCGTACAAGGTCTGAGCACTCTTGTACTGACTAAAGTGCGCACGCTCAGAGGTAGGCAGGTGGCGACGCACAGCAAGACGTGCAGCAGTGTCGCGCGTGGCCCACTGGGAGCGAACAGTGGCGTCAGCATCAGCAGCAGGGGCAGGAGAGGCGCTAGAAGTGAGGTCAAAGAGAGAGAGACCGTCTGCCCTATCGCACTGTAAGAACAGCTGCATGTCATCTACCCAAATGTCAAAGTCAATGGCTCGACCCTCGGCGTCAAAAGCGAGGACACTAGGGGTAGCCATGACAACAGTAGACTAGCAGCGCAAACAGTACGGTAGGGGCAGTGCAGTGATAGAGGCACTATGCTTACTGGACGGGGCTACTCGGGCTGCTCGGTGGTAGGGCGGCTCGGCGGCTCGGCGGCTCGGCTGCACGGCGGCTCGGCTGCTGGGCGGTTGGGCGGCTCGGCTGCAGTGCGGCTCGGCGGCCCGGCGGCTCGGCTGTACGGCGGCTTGGCTGCTGGGCGGCTCGGTTGCAGGGCGGCTCGGCGGCTCGGCTGCTCGACTGCTCGGCTGCTGGGCAGCTCGGCTGTGCTGCTGCAGGGCGGCGCGGCGGTCGGCTGCTCGGCTGGGTGAGGCGGCTCGGGCGGCTCGGGTGGCGGGCGGCGCTGCAGCAGGCGACGGGGCCGCAGGTAAGGGCGGCGGAGCCGCAAGTGAGGGTGGTGGGGCCGCAGGAAAGGGTGGCGGGGCCGTAAGTGAGGGCGGCGGGGCTGCAGGTATGGGCGGCGGGGCCACAGGTGAGGGCGGCGGGGCCGCACGTAAGGGCGACGGGGCCGCAGTTGAGGGCGGCGGGGCCGCAGGTAAGGGCGGGGCCGCCGGTAGGTGGTGGGACCGCAGGTAATGGCGGGGCCGCAGGCAGGCGACGGGGCCGCACGTAAGGGCGGGGCCGCAGGTAGTAGGCGGGGCCGCACGTAAGGGCGGCGGGACCGCAGGTAGGCGGCTGGGCCGCAGGGTAGGCGCCAAAGCCGGAGGGCGGCGGATCGGGACCAGAAGAGGGCGGTGCGCGGGCCGCGAGGTAGGCGGCGAGGCCGCAGGGCGGCAGATCGGGGCCAGGAAGGGCAGCGCGCGGGCCAGGAAGGGCGGCGCGCGGGCCGTAAAAGGGCGGCGCGCGGGCCGTAGGGCGGGCGATGAGGCCGCAAGGCGGCGTGAGGGCCACGAGGTAGGCACCGGGGCCGCTAGGGTGGCGCGACTGGGTGGAGGAAGGGGAGCGCGACTCGGGCTAGGGTTGAGCGCGCTACGGGCAGGATTTTTTTTTTTCGAGTTGGTGGGCCCTAGGAACAGTTCCCACAAGGGAACCTGCTCGATACCATGAGAAAACTGAAACGAGAGGATGAATGAACTATGAAAGAAGTGGGTACAAGTACTAACCCTAATTAGGTTGTACCCCCTATGGGATACCCCACTACAGCCTACACAAATGTATAAGCTATATAATGTTCCGACATCTTGGTCCTCACTGGCGCTCCACTCGCGCCATACTAAGAGCACACGGGAGAATATCCGAAGCAGCACTCTGCGCCGAAATCCATGCTGAGCAGCAAGACATGGACCTGCAAGAAGAACGACACAATAGAAAGGTATCAGCACCGGAATTCGCGTTCCACACTCAGCGACACTACAACTACAACAACAATAACCGGCAGCAACAACCGAAGCCAATACCTCCGTTCTGCCACCTCTGCAAGACTTCAAGGCATCCTCGTACGCACTGCCCAAATCGACAATAGTCAACATCGCCGCAACGCCAACTTCGCCCTTCAAGCAGTCAAGTCGCTTCAACGCAAGCAAATCCGACAACTTCAGCACAAGTGTCAACAACACCGACAGGACAACCTGCAAAAGAAATAAGAAACATCATCAGCTGCATGACAAGACTGAGTGACTCCTGCGTAACTGAATCACCACCATATTACTCACCAGAAGAACAACTCGACAACAGCACGTCTCACCACGAGTCACTTCAGCCGAACCCGACGTACGCCGCCATCGCTCAAAGCGAACCGTCCGGGAAGGACACGTGGTTCTTGGAAAGTTGCTGCGGACAACACATGTGCTCCTCGGGACGCTTCGTTCAACGCGAGCACCGACTTCAACGAGAGGTCGTCATCACAGTCGCCAATAACCAGAACCTGCGCACACGACGACAAGGGATTGTGCAACTTCAGTCACGAGAGACAAATGTTATACTACAGATGTCAAAAGTACTAATCGCGGAGGGACTCGGCTACAACTTACTGAACGTCAGTCAGCTGATGGCGAAAGGCATACACCTCGAAGCAGACAGCACCACCCAAGAATTCAAACTGTATCACGGGAGAGGTCTCTACATTGGCAAGGCGGTCCTCAAGAACAATGTCTTTGTCCTCGTCTTTGTCCCTGATCTTGGCACCGCCGACAGCGACGCCATCGTCAACTTCGCCGACTGGACACACCCTCCAGATCTTGATCCAGACTTCAATCCGGAAGGTTTTTGGTATTCCTATACCATTCCTGAAGCAGAACGAACACGCGCGTTAGTAACAATACAACATTCGGCAGCAGCAGAGACAACTTCGGCAGCAGCATAAACAACATCGGCAGCAGCAAAGACAACTTCGGCAGCAGCAGAGACGTCATCGGCAATAGCAGGAACAACAACAGTAGCAGCAACAACGACACCAGTCCTCGTCGACGAAGCACCACCAACACCCGCACAGCAGCTAAATCCGGCCCAACGGGAAGTCCATAGAAGCGCAAACTTCACCGCCGGCTTCTACTCCAACTCCGACGCGTATCGACGCTCACCCGGACACCGCGCCTCCGAAGACATCTGGCACGCACGCATGGGACACCCAAGCAACACCGTGTTAAACAACACAATAAGAGCAGGAGTCCTTGACAAGGACTCGTTACTACTACTCGACGGCAGAGAACTTCAACGGGAACGAGGAACATGTCTTACCTGCCCTGAAGCCGACTTACCACATCGGCCGTTCACTCCTCATCACAACCCGAGCACACCCGCGTACTCACCACTCGAAAAGGTGTATAGCGACATCCTGTACAATCGGGAACCAGGACAAGTAATCTATAACTACACAATCACCTTCATCGACGCCGCCACTCGTTACGTCTGGCATCTAAACCCACCCAGCCGCGACATGGTCCTCGCAGCATTCGCTGCTTGGGTTCCAGTAGCAGAGAGAGAGTCGGGCGTAAAATTGAAAAGCTTCCAGTCAGACGGGGGAGGAGAATACACCTCTCAGAGATTCAAGCAGTATCTGGCAGAAAGGGGAATCAAGCAGCTCCTCTCTCTTCCCTACGCCCATCAGCAGCAAGGTGTAGCAGAAAGAATGAACAAGACTCTGCAGAACAGCATGCGCAAACTGTTACGTGGCATGCGGCTTCCCAACCACCAGTGGCCTGCAGCAATGGACCACGCTGTCATGCTGCACAACTTGCTGTCGTCATCATCGCTTCCGAACAACGCATCACCGCATTGCTGTGGACAGGGAAACAGGGCAGCACAAAAATGTTACGAGTGTTCGGATGCATGGTACAGTATCGACCCCCAGCAGCACGAGCGGGCCGATTTTCACAACGCGCACAGTGGGGACTACACCTCGGCATCGAAAAGAATTACAACGCGTGGAAAATCTTCGACGTCCACTCCAAGGAAACAGTAGCAGCACGCGATGTCATCTTCTACGAACGACTCACACTCCAGACATACCTTGCCAACCTGCAAGAGGACCAAGATCCCACAGGTGGTTTTTGTGGCGACCGAGCCTTCGCCTCTGCAGAAGACGAAGCTGATTGGGACGAGCAGAATGTGGACAACGCGTCAGAAGAAGCCGGACCTCTTCCGTTCTGCTCCGTCGACGTTCCCATGGACGAAGACAACCCTCGCGAAAGTGTCAACGCCAAAACCTTCTACTACTTCGCCGACAACGGTTACGTAACACCTGCGACAGTCATCACCAACGAAGCAGAACGAGTAGGATCGAATTTCATACCTGATCTAGAAGCGGGAGATGAAGCAGCTTATCCCGAGGACGCAACTCTTCCCTGCTACTCACAAACTGGACTGCAGATACTCGACCTCGTCACCACAGTCCACGGCAACACTCTTCCTAAGGAGCCTGCGACGGTTCAGCAGGCTCTGAGGGGGGAACACAGGGAAGAATGGCGTGAAGCCATGGACAGAGAGTTAAAGGCGCTGGAGGAACGGAACACCTGGAAAGTCGTCCCAATCAGCGTGGCAAGGAACAAAACCATTCTCACCGGGAAATGGGTCTTCCGCGTTAAAACAAAAGCAGACAGCACAATTGAGAAGTTCAAAGCACGCTGGGTTGTGCGTGGATTCGATCAGGAGCACGGACGGGACTTCACCGAGACATTCGCCCCGGTTAGCCGGCATACCTCACTTCGAATTCTCCTCGTGATCGCCGCCATGAAGAAGAAGAAATTGCGGCAAATCGACGTCGCTAACACATTTCTCTACGCACCTGTTGATGCTGAAATCTTCGTTGAGTTACCGCACAGCTCTCACGGAGAATCCAACCAAGTCTGCCAGCTACTCAAGTCACTCTACGGCATCAAGCAGGCCCCGCGACTGTGGCAACAGCACCTGCACGCTCGCCTCATCCGCATCGGCTTCAAGCAACTACCGCACGATCAAGGCATGTACCGGCTCACCAAAGACGAAGACTACATCCTGCTAATCGTCTACCTGGACGATCTTCTCTACATCGGCTCGACTGACGGCATCACCACCTGGTTTGAAGGGGAGCTGAAGCGAGATCTCACGCTCACAGTCTCATCTACCGTCACTCAATACCTCGGCCTCAACATCCGCGAAGAGGAGGACGCGATCTACCTCAGCGCCGAAAAATATGCCGACACTATCGCCAAACGTTTCACGCTCACACCAACAGCCATCTCCACGCCATACCGGTACACAGCAGGAAACGATAGAAGAAGCTGGGATGTCTTCTCTTCGCAGCCGTTACCTGTCGTCCCGACCTCTCATACTCCGCAAGCCAGCTCGCTACCTATCTCAAAAGGGCTGAAGCAGGACACCTGGCGGAACTCGACCGCGCTCTTCACTACCTCGTCAGCACCCCGACGGTCGGTCTGACCTACCAAAAAAACGTAACTACAACGCCTAAGCTAATCGGTTACGTCAACGCAGATCACGGGGGCGACTCCGACAACAGACGATCGCGCACCGGCTACATCTATCGCCTCAAGCCTATCGGGCC